TCTCTCTCTCTCTCTCTCTCTCACACACACACACACACACACACACACACACACACACACACACCATAAAGAAAAACAAACCTATGGCTATGGAGTTCATTTTGTGTTGCCCATCACTCCTGGGCATGAAGCCTAACTTTGAGTGTAGTTGATATACCCAGTGACACCCCATTGAAGAAAGCTTTGCCTTCAGATATTAATTGCAAATGACTTCTTGGTCCATTGTGGGATTCAGTGTTCACTTCCCCCCTGAATGCTGGAACCCCATCTGGCTTCAGCCTGTCTCTGTGCTGCCACAGTCTCTGAGTTGATACATGCATCTGACCTGTTACATCTAGAATATGCTGTGTTCTTGGAGTCATTCACCTTCTCAGAACCTTACAATCTTTCTGTTTCTACTTCCACGTAGATCCCTTGTTGTTGGTTGTTTGCTCTTTTGGTGAGCCCACCACCAAGCTCTCAAATAAATTACACAAGGAGGCTTATTCTTAATTATAAATGGCTGGCCTTAGCTTGGCTTGTTTCTTACCAGATATTCTTAATTTTAAATTATCCCCTCTACCTTTTGCTTCTGGGCTTTTACCTTTCTCTGTTTCCATAACCTTACTTTCACTCTTACTTCATGGCTTGCTGTGACTGACCCTGATGTCCTCCTCCTTCTCTGGCTAATTCTTCTCCCAGATTTCTCCTTCTAGTAATTCTTTCTGCCTGCCAGGCCCACCTATCCTTTCTCCTGCCTCACTATTGGCTGTTCAGCTCTTTATTAGACCATCAGGTATTTTAGGTAGGCAAAGTAACACAGCTTCACAGAGCTTAGCAAATGCAACATAAGAAAAAGTAACACACCTTAAAATAATATTCTACTACAATCCCTGATCCTTAAGGGGAGGAATTTGACGAAGACATCCCAGGACTGATGCTACAAACTCTGTCACTCTCTGCACATTGTCCAGTTTGGGTCTCTGTATTAATTGTCATCTACTGCAAAAAGAAGCTTCTCTGATAAGGGTTGAGCAATGCACTCATCTCTGGGAATAGCAATATGCCATTGGAATGATAACAGTAGGATAGAAAACTTAGCAGTCATTGTGTTCCTTGCTCTGGCATACTACACCTAGAAGCATGTGCATTTACATATGGCTCATTGAGAGTCATTATTGATAATCTGGATCATCTTCAGAATACAGGGACCAGGTGACAAGTGATACAGAATTTTAGGCACATATGAAAGTCTTAAGAATTTAGATGGAGAAAAGACTGGGAGAATGGGCATAATGGTGGTCTTTAAATACTTATTCATTATAGCGACTGTTCAATTTTGCTGCTTACCTCCAGAAGATACTGTAAAATCCTGATCTCTCTTGTCCCAGACAGTGACTTTCTCTATATATGCATATTTTTAAATTTTTATTTAATATGCATGAGTGTTTTTCCTGAATGTGCTTCTGTGTATCACTTGCATGTATGGTGCCTGAAGAGGCAGAAGGGAGCACAGATTCCCTGAAACTGGAGTTACAATTGTTAGTCACTGTTGTGCGGGTGCTGGGAACCAACCTAAGAACTAGTGCTTTGAACTACCAGGACATCTTTCCAGCCTGCAAAGGTGACCCTCTATGGAAATAGGTTCACTGAAAATCTAATTTGTGAGAATGAAGTTTTATACTGCGTTAGGGTGAACCTGTAACTCCATACGGATGTGATTCTTGTAACAAGATGACTATACAAAGATCTAGACAACAGAGACTGTCATGGGATCACAAAGGCAGAGATTGGAGATACACCGGTAAAGGTTTCCAGACACAGCCATGATTGCCATCAGACCATAAGAAGTTAGGAGGAAGCAAGGAAGAGCATTCATACAGGTCTGGAGGCATAGCATAACTAACTGCATTTTTAAGCAGTTTTCTAGGTCTAGGTTGTACAGTTAGCATACATTAAAAAGTACAAGAAATATTCAATGATTTCCCATTTTCTTATTACAAACCATAATAACTTTTTCATTGTTTTTAAGAGTTAAAAGCCCAGAGATTGAGCAGTAGCCAAGAGCTAAGACCACCTTATTTTACCACTCACTGCTGTCCTTCCCCTGAGAGAGAGACCTTCCTGTGTCCTATCTTTTTATTGCCTTTCTGTTCTGCCTTCTCATTGGTTCTAAACCCAACCACATGACTTCCTCATCACTGCCTGTCTATACAGACTTCCAGGTCTCTATGGTTCATACTGAGATTAAAGGTTCAGGTCACCACTTGGCTGTGTCCTTGAACACAGAGAGATTCTGCCTGCTATGTGATCGGATTAAGGACGTGTGTCACCACCACCACACTTCTGCTAAATGGCTTGCTCTTAGCTCTGATCCCCAGGCAACATACAAATAAAATCACATTTCAGCACAAATAAAATATTACTATAACAACTTTCTATTAATCTATACATTGCCACATGGCTTCATGGCATACTGGTACTTTCTTTTTTTATTTTATAATTAATTTAATTTTACATATCAGCCACGGATTCCCCTGTCCTCCCCCCTCCCAACCCCCAGCCTTCCCCTCCCAATCCTCCCCCCATTCCTACCTCCTCCAAGGCAAGGTCTCCCCTGGGGATTCAGCTCAGCCTGGTAGATTCAGCTGAGGCAGGTCCAGTCCCCTCCTCCCTACACCAAGACTGAACAACATGTCTCAGCATAGGCCCTAGGTTCCAGAAAGCCAGTTCATGCACCAAGGACAGGTCCTGGTCCCACTGCCTGAGGGCCTCCCAAATAGTTCGAGCTAATTGCTAGGATATGTGTGTGTTTCAGGAATTTATGTGAAATAACTTATTTGGCAGTATCACAAGTGAAAACATTATAGTGTATCCTAATTAAGGCCACCTGATGTTTTAGCTGTTATATTGCTGAAACCGGAGGATCATTTGAAGTACTCAAAATTAAATTTTCCAAAATATAAATATTTTATTAAATTTCATCAATTGAGAGCTTGTAGCCAATTTCAGCATTAGGAACTAGTGAAAGTATTTTTTCCAAGATAGGAAACTTCTAATGGTAGATGATTGTCAAAAATAAGTTCTTCTTCAGGTACTTAAACTTAACAAAAGGTGTTTGTATTTCTATTCTACTTCTTAAGGTTACCAGTCACAGCATCATTTGGGCTAGCACAGCTTTAAACAGGGACTTTCCCACAGTGCATGGAGGAGGCAACAATGTGTGATTTCAGGGTGATGTTCAGAGCCATCAAGAGTAATGAAAATGAGAGGATTGTAGCTTAGAATTTAAATATACTCTGTTATAACCTCTTCATTTTCAAAAATGAAGATAGCCTAGGTGGAGAAAGAATACATATATCACTTACAATTTAATATCTGTCATTAACTGCTTTTATGCTTTATGAGTTCTTCAACAAGTCCAACAAATGTCCTTGTCTCAATTATCTCACATATGAAACATGGCTACTAATGTTTTCCTGTAAGATTTGTCCAAACAGAATAATATAAATATGTCAACTGTTTGGCTAAGTGTTTGAAAAAGTAGGGTGGGTACTGGCTGGATGATAGGAGGTTGTTTTATTTGTTTGTTTTTTTCTCCTGTAGTTAAGAGCTTTCCTCTGTCGGTTGTCCACAAAGCAGATTTGTGGAAAGACATGGGTCAAGGTCATGGATGAAGCAATCTTGTCTCTTTGAAGATTCCTAACTCTAATTCTCATCATTCAATTCAGCCTCAGCAACTATTTTCTTTTTCTTTTCCTTTTTTTAATTTTGGTAGGATTTCATTGTATAGAGTTTCATTCAGTGTCTGACTGATCTGGAACTCATTATGTAAACCAGGCTAGTCTTGAACTCATAGAGCTCTACTGCCTCTACCTCCTCCCAGGACTGAGGCTCTATAAGACTAAAGACGTGCTACTATACCCAGCCCAGCAACCATCTCTTGATGTTTTTCTACATACTGAGTATTGAAATAATAGAAAGATCAGTCAGGGGCTGCCCTTTGACTTGACTTACAACTCAAAAACAGTGTAGCTCTTATGAATAGGAAATAATACAGTGTCAGGTCAATGAGCTCATTAACCTTAGATTCCAAATTCCCAGAGATTAATGGACTGAATGAGCACAGCACAGACTTAAACTCTCTCCTTTTCAGCTTGTGTGTGTATGGACTTTGTAACAGTGCTAATTCCCTTCATTTTCCTCATTGCTACCTAGTCTCTTTGTTTATTCTCCATCTCTGTTTCTTTCTATACCAGTCTGTGTGGCAGTGTGGAAGAACCACCACATGAGGACAGTCACCAACTACTTCATAGTCAACCTTTCCCTGGCAGACGTGCTCGTGACCATCACCTGCCTTCCAGCCACTCTAGTTGTTGACATCACTGAGACCTGGTTCTTTGGACAGTCCCTCTGTAAGGTCATTCCTTATTTACAGGTAATTCTTTTTGGAGGAATTATTTTTTTTGAATGTTTTCAATTATAGTCATGACTGTCTGGCAAAATAGTTAATGAGTTAAGAAATAAATACAAATATTCAGAAAGAAAAAAAACTTAAAGAAGATAACACTTGAGATTTGCTGAACAACCAAGTTAATGCCTGAATAAAATTGAGGCAACAATGCTGTTAATTACTTCACAGTCTTCATCATTAAATAAATCATTTGAACAAAGTAGTGATTAAGCCTCTCCTAGTTCAAGTAACTGTGAGCATTTGTTTTTTAATAATCAAGAACATCTTGGTTTTTTCCCAATGATTCCTTTTCACTCTAAGGAATTTACAAGGCGTGTGGTCAAAGAAGGGGAACTTGAGACATCAGCTCTAGGTTTGGAATGTCTGTTCTGCCATCTCTAGATGGTACACTATCAAGTGAAATACGTAGACTCTAGCCAATTCACTTACTGAAAATGGTAATTTTAATAAGATCTACCTCATATAGCTGTTGTGACATATTGTTTAGATCATTTACATAAGTCTCTTGGCTCTGTGATGACCTCATCATGAACGTAAAGCAATGCATTCAGAGTAAGAACCAGTTACCAATATCATCACTGGATATCTCAGTGGTAAGCAGTGAGTGCAGCCTAACTGTATCTGTTTGACAATTTTTTTTTAAATTAAGAACAAATACTTTTAAAAGAATCAATGCTTTCATTTCCATTCAAGTAGTTTTTCTTTTATTGCCACAGCCTAAAACTAATTGCTTTCACTCCTGATATGTAACCTAAGTATTTATGTATGTGGATTACAGTACACTTTCAATGTAGCCAAGCTATACAGGAGTATTTGGTTATATCGGGCTTTTACTAACTTGGTAAGATTTATGTTTTCTTTTTTCTTCTAAAGCAATAGAACTTAGATTTGTGAGTGATATACTATAGAACTTTGGCAAATTCTTAAATTACTTAAGAATCCTACAAATGTAATAAATTCAGCTGAATAATTAAAATAACTCTCTTACATATTTAATAATTTGTAATTCCACAACCAATAATACCTATTAGAATTTTATTGAGCAATCTTCAAATACTTTATTCCTTAATATTGACATGTATAATTGGCTCTTTTAAGAGGGAAGGTGTCTAAACTTCTCAATAGTCATCAACTAGTAAGATTAACTTATCTCTCCAAGAATTTAGAAATGCTATAGATGTAGTTAGATTTTCTAGAACTCTAGGCTCCAGAATGGAACATGAAAACAATAGTATCGTGATAAATGTCATCATTATAAGTATAAATAAATAATAGTAAATGCATAGCACTTTTGTAGAAGCCTTCAGTTGGGAATTTTGCATCTCAACTAACTGTAATTCCCTAATCCTGTGCCCTAACCCTATTAAAGACAGCTCCATACATTGATTATGTGGGAATCAACAGGGTTGAAATGTTCATTTCTTTACATTTCCAAGCTGAAGAATCACCTTTGATGTTATTTACATGCATGGTGTACTGAGAGGTTCTACATGTGTTTGGGAGCACGTTACTAATCCTGTCAGGGAGCAAACTATAGTGCACATACTCATGTACAGAATCTCTTTTACTGTAATCTAGACTTTTATTTGTATGCAATATATTGAAAATAAATTGGACAAAATTACCCTTTGTTATTTAAAAATATGAAAGAAGATACCCATGATGTATTTATGCTAATGAAATGTAACCAGTGAAAACTTACATGATAATTTAAAATACACATGCCATGTAATTATTTTTGATTGAAAGGGAATATACCCATGTATAATTTCTCTCCCTTTGAGAATACTAGTTGCACTATCAGTAGAAAAGCTACAAAACTAAGTAGATATATTAACTATTCACATATTATAAACTAAGCTTTTAATGTGAGAAAATTGCAAAGTTTCAAAGCACCTACTTCACATCTGAAAGGAAATACAAAGTTTCATGATGCATTTCTAGTTCTCTATTTTCATCATCCATTTTCTTAACATGAAAGCCATTTACATGAATTAATGTGTAGCGTGAGCCACCCTGAATTTATTTATTTTTTCTGCTGTCACTACCTTGCTGATAAGGCAAATGCTCTCACGTCCTTTCTGACACCTAGCAATCCTCTTGAACCGTGTTCCTTTCTTTCCCTCCAGACGGTGTCAGTGTCTGTGTCTGTTCTTACACTGAGCTGCATTGCCTTGGACCGATGGTACGCAATTTGTCACCCTTTGATGTTCAAGAGCACAGCCAAGCGGGCTCGGAACAGTATCGTCATCATCTGGATTGTCTCCTGCATCATTATGATTCCTCAAGCCATTGTCATGGAGTGCAGCAGCATGCTCCCTGGCTTAGCCAATAAAACCACCCTCTTTACAGTATGTGACGAGCACTGGGGCGGTAAGCAGTTTTCGTTCATGTGCTCACAAATTGGCAGGGTATCTGCAAATATTGGATTAGCATCACTATTGCTAAATTAGGCTTATATATTTTATTAGTATTTTACTAAAAGAGATCACCCAAAGGGAGAAAACAGAGTTGAAGCACAACACAATTTCATAAATAACTCATATCCTTTGTAAGTGCTTTATGTACAATTTTTAAATTTCATATTCTTCACAATGGAAATGTATAGAGGAGTTTATTCAGTGACTCATTTTTAGTTATTTCTTCAAGTTTTTAAAACAAATGAACTAGTCAATGAAACAAATCAAATTATAAATTAACAGTTTATGAAAATCAATACAAAAGTTTCTCAGAAAGCAAAATACAGAGATTTTATATATAAGCCAGTTTATCCTACTCCTGGGCAAAATCCTCAAGGATTCTGTATCTTATTTCAGAGATAATTGTGCATTTATGGTTAATGATTCTCTATTCATAATATTTAAGAAAGAGACTCAGCATAGATGTCTATGAAAATGTGATATGTATCACAATTAAATTTTATCCAATCATAAAGAAAAATAAAATATTTGGGGGAAAATGGACAGAGCTAGAATAATATTGCATAGAGTGAACCAAGGCCCAAAAGACAAATGTTACATGTGCTCGCTCATGTCTGGGTCTCAGCATCTAGTTTTTTAAAATGTGAATTTATGTGCAAATGAAGGAAGGTAGATACCAGGGAACTAGAAAGGGGCCCGTGAGAGGGGAAGAAAAAAAAGACACTTTAAGAGAAAGGGTTAGGAAGAGCAAGAGAACACATACACTTTAAAAGTGGAATGGTTTGTCCTGGGAGCAGAAGGGAATAGGCAAGAAAACAAGGCTAGGGAAAAGTGGGGCGGTAAGAGATGTTCACCCGAAACTAGGTATGCATAAAAAATACCATAAGGAAATCTTTGCTTAAAATGTTAAGAAAACACTAATAAATTTTTATTTCCTTGTTTAAAATAAAAAGATATTTCTAAGCTGGTTCAATGTTATGGTGTCTGAAGTTCCCAGTTCCTCAATTGCCTCAGATGAAACTAGGTTTGTGTTCATTTGTTTGTTTGTCTTCAGTTTAGAACAGTGTTCTGAGAGCATTACCTTCTCACAGAGACACTCAATCACTGAGTGAGGAATTATATCAGTTAGAGGCCCTCTGTATGGTGTACATCTGTACACACCTAGCACCCATGATAGTGATATATAAACAAACAGAATTTTGGAGGCCTTGTGATTCTTTGCCTCAAAACCCCTAACCGTGGGAACATGGCTATCCATTTATGGCAAAGACACATATATGGACAGAAAAAAGAATAATAAAAATTCACCGTATGTTTCAAGATGACATGCACTGGCTACACTAAATGAACAAACTGGCCTCTTCTAGTTAATTGCACTGAAATTGCTCATTTTTACAGAATTTACACATCAGGAAAGAATGATTGTTAAATAGACATGCAGTCACACTGACTGGAAAAATGAATCAGATGACCTGGAAGGCTCAGGTAGATGGATCCTGAATCCTAAGCCAGACTGGGCTGCACAGTGATGCTCAGTCTTAGAAAAAAATCAAAACAAATCAAAGCAAATCAAAACAGAACTGTAATAAGTAAAATTTTACAATTTGAATTTCCTGTTACTCAAGATATTAAATGTCTTTTCAATGAGTTTTACTCTTCTTTTCTAATGTTATAATGCTTTTGATTTTTGTTTATCTTTTATATTTTTATAAATTTAATAATACATCCAAAAATAAACTGAATGGAAAGTTCCTAAATATTTTCCTTAAGTATCCTATGTCCCATTTATTTAATGTACTAAAAAAACATCTAGAGTATGCTGGCCTTGTGCCTAAGAGAGCACATTCTCCAGTAAGGCTGAGAGACAAACCACAGTGTGATTAATGGACTTGTGTACTGAGTACTAGGGACGTAAAGGAGAGAACAGCTTCAGTCCTGGCCATTTGGACAAATGTCTACAAAGGAGATGCTAATATTTCAGCAAAGTATTAAAGATGAATCTGAATTCTGCCAACTAGGAGCAGGGAAGGGATATCCCAGGAAAGGAAAAGATGTGTTGCAGGAAGTACAGTAACCCACTTACTGAGCCCTCATCTTAAGGAAGGCATAGCTCCTGGAGTATAGGCAACCTGAAGAAATGACTTTAGCGTAGAGTTGAAGCTTCTTACATGATTTCTTTATAGTAAATTTTAGCTGGAAAGCATCCCGTAACCCATAGCCTGACCCTTCTTAATTTATGACTAAATTGAGCCCTACAGAGATTACACTATCTGTTCAAGATTATAAAGCAGACTGCATGTCAATCGCAAGAGTCCTACTGAAATGTGGGAATCCTTTGACGTTATGGAGAGGGTTATCAGAGAAAATACTTAGTATTTAGTAAATACCAGAAAAAAATTTCTAAGGTGTTTTCGAAATGAGTTTCATTTATATGTTCATGGAGTATAATATAAATGATTGCTCTACACAACACACAATCAAGCATCATTAACTCCATTAATGAAAAGATTACCAAACTACAGAATCCTATCAACCTATCAATAAATGTAATTAAGTACCATGTTGTGTTTTTATAACATCTTGTATCAGTAAATGTAAACATAAAATTTATATCTATTTCCACTATTTTATTATCTAGCTTTTATATAGATATTCAAAAGTCATTGATAAAACTACTTGAAAGTGACTTGATAATAGTCCACAGTTACTTAAAATGCTTCTAAGGGCTAAAATTAATTGATATTCAATTAAAATGATCATCTATAGAATAATCAAACAATAAGAACTATTTATTTGTTCTTCAGTTATTCAGCTATAAGTTATTGATAGTTTACTGCTTGTAAGGAAAATATAAAGAATTTAAAATAATTTCTTATCATTTAACTCCTTACAAATCTTATATAATTAATATTAAGATTCTTACATAGAATACCCTCTGTTCATGGAGACTATTTAAAATTCCATGCCCAAACTGGAAGATTAAAGGTCTGCAGAGGCATTATAACTCTCTTAGTTTGCTTTCTGTTGCTGTGATAAACACACTGACAAGGCCAACTTGGGAGGAAAAGCTTATTGTGTCTTATAGCTTATAGTCAACCATGAAGGGAGGTCAGAGCAAGAACTTAAGGCAGGAACCTGAAATCAGGAACTGAAGCACAAGCCATGAATGAATGCTGCTGAATAGCTTGCTCCAAATGGCTTGTCCAGCCTGCTTTCTTACACAACCCAGGGAAATCTACCTAGGAATGACATTGACCACAGTGGGCTGGACCCTCCCACATCAATCATTAAAAAAATCCTGCACAGACTAACCTACAGGCCAATTACAGTAGAGATATTTTCACAATTGAGATTGGCACTGCCAGATAAATCAAGCTTACATTAAATAATGAAAAAAAAAAAAAAAAAAAAAAAAAAAAAAAAAAACAGGACAACCACCATAACTCAAAACATCACACACCATGGGAAACACTTTATAACGCTACTTCTCTATATGGTGGCTATCCCTAATATCCCAATTTAAATATTTAAATATATCAATATTGACTATAGAATACAGTATCTTCTATTTGAGATTAATTTATGATCTTGGATTCTTATTTTTTAATCTGTCTCCTAAATTCAATAAAAGCAGTTAGAAAAAAAAAAAAAACACCCAGTTGTGCTTTAATTATCAAATGGTACCATATAGGAAGAACTCCCATTGGCCTCTATCAAATCACTTTGAGAAGTCACTCAAATAAGTGCCCTTCACACATGGTGCAAGATGACTAGGAATTCCTTAATGGCCATGCGGGGACCCATTATTTCTAAAATGATCATAATCGTCATATGCATGGTTGTTGAAAACAAAAAGACAGATAACTCCAACAAAGAAAAAACCAAGGTATGTGTCTGAGATGTTATTTTTAATATTCAATGTGGGTCTGTACTACCAATGCCATTGCTCTTGAACGTCACCATTCACCATGTTTATTATTCGCTTCAGTCACACTCCTCCATATTTATAAAATTGTATAATTTCCAGCATTATTTTCATACTTTCTTGGTTAGTAAATGAAAACTTAGTTCCTCAAAATAAAGTTTATTTAAAGGAAAGATATGCATTTTGAACACTCAGTCTAAGAAGTAACCACCTCATATCACTTTATCAAATGTTTTATGAGTACGAACTATTGACCAAATATTGTTCTAGATACTGGAATTTTATCTGAGAGAGGGTCTTATTATGTAGCCCAAGACAGTCTTGGAACTCATTTTGTAGCCCAGGCTTTCCTAGAACTCACTCTAAAGCCCAGACTGTCCTTGGACCCATAGTTCAACACATAAATTACTACTGCCCAGGCCTCCTGAAAACTAGGATCACAGAGGTGACCACCGCCACCAGCAATGACTTTAAATTGAAAAATACCTCTCCTCCTGGAGCTAACAAATTGGACTTTGTTGGCCTGACCAAAAAAAAAAAAATAGAGTGAACCTTCCTTATAGTCAGAGTAATTATGGTTTTTGTCTCACTATGAGAGTTAGAAAGTACTTAAATATGTATATATGTGTATCAAGAAACAGTTACAATATATTCATTAGAGGGATGATAATAAAGCAATAAATATTCAGATAAATTTTAAAAACCCATAAGGTTTAAAAATTGTCAAATTGAATATTGGCAAATTATATTTAGCCTACTTGTCTCTGACAAGTATAGCATAGGGAGAATGTTGTAAATTTTGGGTAATTAGGTAAATAATGCACCTTAACTCTTCTGAAGAGTAGTATTCTTTATTCCCTGATTTTAAAGACACTCTAAATATCCATATTTGTGTCTGATTCATTGATTTGTGGTAGCAATATGTGGGAGGGAGGGAGGGAGAGAGAGAGAGACAGAGAGAGAGACAGAGAGACAGAGAGACAGAGACAGAGAGACAGAGAGACAGAGAGAGAGAACATATGAACCTATAGATTCGTACAGAGAAGAATTTATTTAGATACTGCCTTCCATCACTTGAATAAAGACACTGATTTTTGTTGTTGTTGCTGCTGCTGCTACTGCTGTTGAGACAAGCTCTCATATTATCCCATCTAGCACTACACTTGCCAGACAACCAAAGATGATCTCAAACTTCTGATCCTCCTGCCTCTACCCCTAACTCTGAGATTATAGATGGGCACCACCACACATGGCTTTGGGCGATGCTAGGGATCAAACTCAAATCATGATAGGCAAGTATTCTACTGACTGAGCTACATCTGCAGTCTGAGACACAGATGTATAGTCATCAGACTTCAAAATGCTGCTTACTAATTCAGGCAGTGTTTAAGCAAAACAAATTTTATATAGCTGTATTCTAGATTATGTTTCATAAATATATATTGAAGAAAATGATAATTATCAAATGAAGGATTCATTGATATTTTTCAATACATGCAACTTAAATTTTCAGTAGATCAAGTTTTCAATTAGTTCTAAATTTAAAAATGAAAGCAGATTTTAAGACTATTACTATTATAACCTCTCCAGTAATACACTATTGCTAGCCTGTAGTAGAATTTTGCTTCATCAACTTTTCTGCACAAGTAATCATCATAATATATACTTACCAGCTAGTTATTAATTTTTATATTTATTCAAAATCACCAGAACTCACCTTCTTTCCATCTGTTCAAAATATCAAATTGCTATGGCAGTAATGGTATCTGCTACTATAGTGGGAAAAATGTTACCAATTAAATTTACTTTCCTCCACCTGTTCAATTTAGTTCCATGCAGCTATTAGAGATTCAGTATGCATAAGTTTCAAAGGTGTGTGTGTGTGTGTGTGTGTGTGTGTGTGTGTGTGTGTGTGTGTGTGTGTGAAGTACATGTGGCATGTATTTTCTTTAAAACAAATAATAGTTCAAAGCCATTCAGGTCCCAGAGAATTATTACTTTGAAATCAACCCAGCAAATGCTGTTCAAGCTGCTGTACTTCAAATGGAAATGATATCTGTTATTACTCCAGTACTTGAATTCTATCACTCTTTATTCAATGGCCTGTTTTACAAGATAAACTTGAAAGGAAGTTAGAAATGAATGGGGCAGATAAGTGTCTCCTGACCCAGGAATGGTCTAAAAATGACACTTCAAATTGGTCTCTTACACCTCCCAGCAGCCTATGTACCATGCTGTTCTTTCTACAGAATACAATACAAAAAATGAGAAATAAGATAATTTCAGAGCGAAAAGTACAAAAAAATATTAGACTCAAACTCAATCAATCCCAGATAAGAAGTTATGAATTTAAGATGGCAGAGGCCATTAAAATTATGGATATGTTTAAAATATAACCAGTAATATAACTAAGTGCAAGATTGCTGAGTAAATGACCATTATTATGGTCATTAATGTACTTATGATGCATCCTAAATACAAATTGCTCTTATGATGAATTTAATCAAATATTCAAGGCTTCATTCTTTATATCATTTCTTAATTAAATATAGAGGTGATAATTCCACAGCTGGCGTAATCACTGTTCTATTGCTGTGAAGAGACACCATGACCAAGGCAACTTTTGTGAAAGGAAACATTTCACTTGGGGGCTGGCCTGCAGTTTAGAGGTTTAGTCCATTATCATCACGGTGAGGAGTATGGCCACATGCAGGCATATGTAGTATGGAGTGGTAGCTGAGAGCTAAATCCTGATTCATAGGTACAGAGAGAGCCTGGGCCTGGCATGGGCTTTTTAAACTTCAAAGCCCACCCACAGTGACACATTTCCTCCAGCAAAGCCATGCCTCCTAATCCTTCTAAGCCTTTCAAATATTGCCACTTATATTCTAATGAGAATCATTAACTGTATTTACATTTAGCTCCACTTTAAACAAGGATTTAGTCATTATTTTTTTTAATTTAAAAAAAAATATTTTTTACCAGGCCTCTTTTAGTAAATGAACGTATAAGACCATTCAGATAGTTTATTTCAATTAGCCAAATGCAGGCATGCCAAATAAAGAGCCATTTGATATATAAATTTCTTGATCATGGTTAGATTGTGATCACACCCAATTTAGAAATGACTAATTGTTATTTCTCTGAGTATATTAAATGAAATATTGGGAATTATTTTCCCCTGTGTGTATATAATATAAAGATGAAGCTCTCAAGAAAGTGTATTTATTCTTTAAAGGGAAAAGCTGAAGTGATCCCTTTTTTAAGTCCATCATTTTAATGTGAGATTTTACTGTTTGTCTCTCATCTCAGGTGACGTCTACCCAAAGATGTACCACATCTGTTTCTTTCTGGTGACGTACATGGCACCTCTGTGTCTTATGGTGTTGGCTTATCTGCAAATATTTCGTAAACTCTGGTGCCGACAGGTACGTGATATCAAATAATTTGTCTGTGTCTTCTTTAGAATGTACATAAAAACAAATTTAAAATTCGTTGAACTCATGTAACATATACAACACGGGATTGTTTGTTCTAAAGTAATGAGACTCTGGATGTGAAAATACTGTTTTACTGATATTTAGCAAATGTCTTAAATTTTGCCTTAAGAAAGCTACACTTCTGATAAAATTCCAACCTCAATAATTAACTGGGTTATTTTTCATTAATCTTGGAATAACAATTTTAAATTTTTAAAAGGATTTAGTTATTGTTATTTTATTTTTGCAGTGTTTTGCCTGCATGTGTATCAGCACACTATAGGCACACAGTGCTCTCAGAGACCAGAAGAGGGCACCGAATGCCCTGGAATGAATTACAGATGATTAAGAGCCACCATGTAGATTCTGAGATTCAAACTTGAGTCCTCCAGAAGAGCAGACAGTGTTTTTAACTGTTGAGCCATCCCTCAGCCCCTGGGAGTAAAATTATTAATTTTACTTCTCATTATAAGTAACAAAAATTAATTTCAGTTCCTGAAAAGTGTAAATATAAATGGTTGTACTTTAAATGAAATTTTTGTAATACATTTAACGTATGGGTTATATCTTCAATTTCAATGATCTCATTTAGAGTAGATTTAAAGAATAGGATGACTTAGGGTTCTTTCCTCTGCTCCCCCATCACCTTTCCCCTTCTTTACCCAGTATAATTAAGTTTTTTTTTAAGACGTTTTAATTCTGAATTAGGGTTACTCTGATTTACTAGAAATTTGAACCATTCATGAGATTTCATTCATTCTCTTAGTGATTCATTTGTCATGTGCTAATATCTTTTGCATACCAGCCTTAAACTAAGCCACAAGTAAATTCAGTCTTTAAAGGGGATCTAGTCAGGTACATAGTGGAAACAGCCCTTTTAATACAAGCACACGATACCAGAGCTTGGTGAAGTGGGAGGTCTCTAAGCCTAGGCTGGTAACATTTAAGTTGTATCTTGATGACTTGAAAGAAATCAACAAGTGTGTGGAGAATTGTAAATAGGCAAAGTGGATATGGTTAGTAAGTTTTATGACATGATAAAGATATATTCTTCCCTTCTCTATAACTATGGCCAGTATACTGAGTTTATTAAGCTTGAGAACTAACAGGTTGTTGGTCTCTTTTCTCTAACATATTTTATTGAGAAAGAACTTACTGAGATCATCTTAATTCATTAAGGACAATTCCATTTGTTTTGTTTATAAGTAGCATTTCTATTATTTGTGAATATCATATATTTATGCAATGTATTTTAATCATGTTTACTCACCACTCCTCTCCTTAATTCCTCCCAGATCAACACTCCTTCCCTTGCAAGGTCATATCCTCTTTTTATTTTTATAATTCACTGAGTCAAATTTTTGCTTCTCATTTATTCACAAACTTGAAGACATCCAATGAAGTATGGTTGACCTACCTAAGGAGCCACAGGCTTAAAGAAAACTTATTTCTCCCAACCTCCAATACTACCCATCACCCATCAACTTTCTAGCCTCTCAAATAGGAGTAGGAGATTCTGAGCCTCACCTACCTGCATAATGGAGTATTGATTGGTTCCAAGGGCCATGGGAATATACATCAGATGACAACTAATGTTGGACAAATCCACCCATCAGACATATAAACTCCCTGATGGGAGCCCCAATGGCAATGCTGTGGGGTCACTGGCTGTGGAAACTGGTTGTTTTCTGCCTGTAACTTTCTCAGGTGCCACTGCCTTGCCTCCCTAATAAGAACAGCTGTGGGGTGCCTCCCACAGCCTTTTGGTAAGATGTTTTACATCTCTGGGCACACATTTAGCTGTGGATTTCTGTTTAAGCTATATAATTCTGATGAACAGAAATATTACCAGAATATTCTTCTTTACTGATACAGGAAAGTAACAATATTCTCTGTGGTGACATATTGTGTACCCCAATAAAGCTTACCTGGGGATCAGAGGACACATTTCGCAAAGATCTTAGAACTAGTCCAAAACAGACTAAGCTGTCCCTAAAGAATATGTATCTAAAGACTGATTCCCAGATGTTGTTTATTGCTAAATCAAAGCCAGGCTGTTTTCATCAAGACATAGTCCCTGTAACAGCTCCCTTCTGCACATACTCTGACTGCTCAAGGTTCAGCCAATTGTTTAATGTCTGGGACCCCTCACCAACTTAGAGCTATGTGCATGAGTCAATGACATTACTAGCCTAAGAGAAACTACATGACTTATCTTATGTTTTGAGAATGGGTAGGGCCCTAAAACTATAACTTTTAATTGTCCAGATTTTGGCTGAGGTGGATCAGCAGTGACAATAAGGAGAGAGATGGCTATAGAGAGCTATATGAGAACTGCTGCAAAATATGTATGAAATATATACATATATGTACATATATGTATATATACATATATATGCTGAATGATGGACAAAGAAAAAACATTAAAAAATAAAAAAATATGAAGAAATAAATGGATGAATGAATAAAATATAAATAAACAACAGAGAGCTATATGAAAGAAATGCTGCTATGTAGAGGAGCTATGCCTAGGAACTGTGTAAAATGCTATATGAAAGAGCTATATGAATAAGATGTTTAACTATGGCTATATGTAGATGTAACCAACCATCTTATTAAATAAGAAACACAGAACCAATGCAAAGAAGAAAGCCAAGAGATCAGAGCTAAGAGCCTTACCGCCTGCTGCAGCTAGCCTCTTAAGCCAAGAGACCTCTCCGAAAAAGGAGCTACTTCCTGTCTGTTCGTCTTTATATAGACTTTCTGTTCAGCCTTCTCATTGGTTGTAAACCCAAACACATGACTGCCTCGGCACTGCCTGTATGTACAGCCCTCCAGGTCTTCTAAGGCGTGTGTCTCCAATGTTGGCTGTATCCTTGAACACACAGAGATCTACCTAGCTCTGCCTACCAAGTGCTGGGATTAAAGGCGTGCACCACCACCACCACCACCACCACCACCACCACCACCACCACCACCGCCACGCTCTTTCTATGGCTCTAATAGCTCTGACCCCCAGGGGACTTTATTATTAACATACAATTAAAATCACATTTCAGTACAAATAAAATACCGCCATAGCTATATGGAAATTTATAACTGAATAGAGACAAAAAGAGTCAGAGACCATTTCTTAAGATGAAGTAAAAGAGAAAGTTAACATCAGAAAGCATGTATGTTTTCTTACTTTACCAGTCAGATAGATAGAAACTTATTTCTAAATACCCTCAGATTTAAAAAAAAAAAAAAAAAAAAAAAGGTCTAGCTCTTGCCACCTTTATGGATTTTCTTGCATTACCCTGGAGGTGGCCTTGGAGCAGGCTCTCCATAGGCCCCCAATAGATCTGCTTGATCTTGAACATGTCTTATACAGGCAATCATAGCTACTGTTAGTTCATGGGTATAGTGGTCTTGTCCTTTTTCAGAAGTTGCTATTTGGCCCCTGTTTTTCACAACCTCTGGCTCTTACAAATCTCTCCATTCCAGTTCCTCTTGCACTGGTCTCTGAATTGGGAGGGTGGAGGATGTGACAGCTATGTACCATTTGTGACTGAGTACTCTACACACACTCATTCGGCTCTTTAGTTAGTTGAAACCTTCGGAATTAACTGCCACCCAGAGCAACAAAGAAACTTCTCTGAAGAGGTGGAAGACCTACACCAATCTGTGGGCGTAGAGACAGGAATATTTTACTTAAGGCCATATTCCATAAGTTTCCTCTTATAGAAATACCTTGCCAAAAATCGAGGACAGGGAAGCTCACAAACTCCAGGGATGGATCAATTATTATTATTATTTTGCAAAAATTTCCTCCTGAATTCTAACCAGAAACTGGTTGGTTCTTTACATAACATTTATGCCATTATTTCATCCATGAGTATATCTTACAACACTTGTCTTTGTTGTAGCTCAAAGGGTTATAGCTGAGTAAGGCTGCTGATGACTTTCAACCCCAGTACCTGCATAACACCTTCTGATACTGTGAAAATTAGTTAACAGGAAGGAAGCTCCCTGTCAGCACTATATTTCTCCATGTGTTGTCAGCAACAGTGTCTTACCATCAAATTCTGTAGGAAATGAACAATAGCAATAGCCCACATTGCTTTGAGTATTGGAAGGGACTTCCTTAACCAATAATTCAACATTTGGTGAGAGGCTTTTTATTTTGGAACTTACAGCCTCTGGGAGGAGAATTATTCCTGAGTAACTCCAATTAAACCATTAAACTCCTATATGAATATATCTATATATACATGCTAGTACATAATGTTCTATTTTATAAGCTTCCATATATACACAGAAGCTTGTAAAATACTAGATTTCCATTCAGCATTTTGAAACATCCTTAGCATTAGTTATTTTCCGTTTCTAAAATGCCCTATTTGGTCATTGAGGATGAGTCTTCATTTGTGTTTTATTCAGTCTTTGGTATTCAAAATACCTTTTCAAGACCAACGTTCACTAATTGAAACCAAACAGCTTTTACAGTTTCTAGTCCTGTATGTTGTACAATTCCTAACTTTTCCTTTTTCTTTTGTTTTTTACAACAAGTTTTTCTTTTAATAATAATTTTCATTATTTTTACACATGTATTATTTTACATATATTATATACTATATTTTACATAAATTATATTATACATTAATACATTTTATTTATATTTACATATTTTATTTATAACTTCTGTGACTTTTTATATCCAGTAGCAAAGTCAAGTCATATTCTGTTCTCCAAATCTTTTCATCAAAACAAAGCAAGAGAACAAGGTAAACTACTGTAAGACATGAGAAGTGATTTGTTTAATTCCCAGCAACTATATTTTTCAGACTTAAAGCCAGTGGCACTCATTCTAGGATGCTTTGTTATTGGAACATCCCACTTCTTTGTATGTGTTACTGTATCAGCTTTTACTAGGCTACTCTACCATATGATGCATGCTGTTCTCAGCA